CCAGAGTGCAGCCGCCAGCTCCCCGCTGGTCGGAGCCCAGCCCAGCGGAGCGCGCCGCTTCCCGACATCCACAGACCAGCACGGGCCGCTCAGCCCCACGGGCACTGCCCGTGCCTGCAGCCCAGAGCAGGAACTTGCTGCCAGGATGGCAGGAGGGCTGTTTGGGCACCCGAGCGCTGCCTCAGGCCTTCGCTGCCGTCAGGGCTGGTGGGCCACAACGCTGTGCGACAGGGCTGGCTGAAGGCCTGTGCCTCACAGCAGACACATCTGGTCTAACAGTCAACAATAAACCCCCAAAGCTTATGTACAGCTGGAGAGGAGCTGCACAACGTCGCGCAGGAGGCAAACGTGCTCTCCTCCCGTGCGCAGAGTCCTTGCTGGCAACATCCTCCGACAACAAAACCCAGTGGCAAGAGAAATAAAGTCTTTCGTCCTCTGGGAGAAACAGAAATCAAACCACGCCACTGCCAAAGCACATCTGAACACTACAAGTCACCTGGTTTTGTGTTAGCAACGCAGCCTGTCCTCACACATTAAGGCAAGTGGGTGTGGAGCAAGCTGGGCCCCATGGGACCTGGAACAGCCACAGCAGGGAGCCCACTGCCAACCGCTGCTGCTGACACGCCAATGACGCCGTCAGCCGAACATGCGTGGAAACAACCTGCTCGCCCCAGTGCAGGCCCAGGCCCCACTCTGCAGAACGGCCTCCTGCCCAGCTGCTGCAAGGAAGAGAGGCAAGTGCAAACTCTGCCGTTACGTCAGGGGGGTGTCTGGGCCCTGCCGCAGCTTCCCGGGAGTCAGAAAGTGGGTTGCTGGAGGAGTGTGTACAGGTGAGTGGGGAACAGGACATTCGCCCAACAGTAAGACACTCGGATTGGAGTAATGCAAAACCAACACGCAAATGGACACACAGCAGATTAAAGCCAACCAAGGTTAAAACAGTTAAAAAGTGTCCTGAATGCATTCAGAGGGGTTCAACCAAGCCCCTGCTGTGGGTAGGGGGGCCTTTTCCATCCCCTGCCCAGAAAGATGTGCTGCAGGACGACTCAAGAAAGGATTGTTACCAACCCAGTGCTCAGAGAGCAGAAATGGGACCAGATCTTGTGCCCGAGATGGAAAAACATCCCTTCACTGCTAGTCTTCAAGGGTTCTTCTCCTCCCAACCAGTAATTTCCAAACAGTAAACAAAGCCAGAACTTGCCTGCCCAGGTCTGCAGGTGCCTCTGATCTATTCCAAAGGAGGGCAGGGTAACGCAAGCTGCCGGCAACATGGACAACATGCTTAACTTTCCTCATGTACGGCACTGAACGTGAGAAACTCTCCCAGGCTCCATCTCACGGTGCGGAGGAGGGACACCCACGCTAGGACGGGACAGCAGCAGCTCCAGGCATCCCTCAGAAAGCTATGGGAGCTTCCATCCTTCTCCCCAGGCATTGGCGAGTAGAGATCTCTCTGTCCTCGTGGTAGTCAGAAGCTCAGCTGAGGCGCCAGGGACTCCTCCAGGCCGTTTTCTTTGGTGGTGATGGCTTGGAGGTCAGTGACGTGCCCAATGCCTTTGGTGACTCCTTCACGGAAAAGCAGCTTGGCTCCGATCTTCAAGTATTCGGGATGCTTGATGAACCTGAAACAGACGACTGCCTTCTCTCCTGTCCGCAGCTTGTCCTGAAAAGAAAAAGGGGAAAGCTCAGATGCATCTACCATACCGATGGGTGCAGGGGAGGTGCATGTGGATGCCAAGAAGATGAGGTGAATGAGCAGGCCGCCTCCCTCAGGCTGCGCGGCCTGAGCCCTTCCCGTTATTGTACGCATAAGGGGAGACAGGAAGTAACAAGCTTTGGAGAAGGCCGAGTTCACCTCCCTTCACCGTCTTACTCTAGTCCATCATGCTGCTTGTTTTGTGAGGAGGGAATTCTTTAACGTGTTGGGAGGAAAAGCAACCAAATAGGCAGGATAAAGGGATGGAGTGTGCTCCAAGGAAGGGACACAGCTACTCAAGATACCAGTATCCTCCCAGCTTTACTAGAGGGCATGGTGGAATCCCAACAAACCCCATGGAGGGGTCTACCTTCCTCCCCTTTGCTCCCACGCCTACCTTTCCGTGGATCTTCTCTACGATAGCAGTCTGTCGGACGTTCCCCACGTGCACCGTCACCTGAAACCCCTTCCGGAAAGTTGTGGCGTGGAACAACAGCACGATCTCGGCTTCAAACACTGAGCAGATGGTGGGGTTCATTTCTGGGCTCACCATGACCATGCCCTGCACAACAACCCAAAGCTCAGAGCAGTTAGGGCCAGTTCCTTTGCTTCTGAACAGCTCCCGAAACTACAAACACATCTCTACTCTGAAGCTTAGGCCTGCAGCCTGCTCTCAGCCTTGCAC